CCAAACAAAACCAACTTTAAAAGTTAGTGAAATAAATACGGTGAGTGGAGAGGGTATCTTCTTGAGTTTTATTAAAGTAAAGACTATCCACTTTGAGATTTAACGTTATACACACCCCCCAGTAGCACAGCGGTATGTCTGCAGACTTATACTGTGAAAACCGGGTTTCGATACCCGTGGTGGGCAGAGCACAGGTATCCCTTTGTGTAACTTTGTGCTTAATAACAAACAACAACAACAACGTTATACTCACACGTCTTTACAGGATTTATGTTTATATATATAGAAGTACTTAAAATACTTCACTTCACAATCATTTACTTCATACATAGACGTATATAAAATACTTTACTTAAAATGCCTCACTTCACAATCATAAGTCTTTAGATGATTTACTTCATACATAGACGTATGTAAAATACTATATTTAAAATGCTTCACCCCACAATTATAAGTCTAGAGGATTTACTTCATACATAGACGTATATAAAATACTATACTTAAAATGCTTCACTTCACAATTATAAGTCTAGAGGATTTACTTCATACATAGACGTATATAAAATACTTTACTTAAAATGCCTCACTTCACAATCATAAGTCTTTAGAGGATTTACTTCATACATAGACGTATTTAAAAAATACTTCACTTCACAATCATTATTCCTTAGAGGATTAGTCTTTATACATATACGTATTTAAAATTCTTCATTTCACAATCACACGTCTTTAGAGGATTTCTCTTCATGTATAGACGTATATAAAATGTTTCACTTCACACTCACACTTCTTTAGAGGATTTACTTCATACATAGGCGTATATATAAAATACTTTACTTCACAATCATTATTCCTCAGAGGATTAGTCTTTATACATATACGTTTTTAAAATTCTTCATTTCACAATCACATGTCTTTAGAGGATTTCTCTTCATGTATAGACGTATATAAAATGTTTCACTTCACACTCACACTTGTTTAGAGGATTCTTCTTCATACACAAGCATTTAAATGCTTCGCTTCATAATTTAAAATGTTTAACTTCATACCCACATGTATTTAAAAGATTCCCCTTTACACGTAGACGTACTTATAATTCTTCGTTTCGCACTCACACTTCTTTAGAAGATTCCTCTTCATGCTTACACGTACTTAAAAGGGTTAATTTTATACCTATTTAGAAGATTCTTCTTCGTGAATATGTGTATTTAGCATGCTTCTCTTTACAATTATGCGGCTTCAGATGGTTTCTCTTCATATAGTTCATACTCACATGTTTTAGACGATTTTTATTCATATATAGGCGTAGTTAAATTTTTTCTCCTCATACTCACATGTTTTAGACGATTTTTATTCATATACAGGCGTAGTTAAAATTTTTCTCCTCATACTCAAATGCTTTTAGAGGATTATTCATATATACACGTATTTGAAAGGATCAACTTTTGTAATTATACGTACTTAAAATACTCCTATTCATACACAAGTATATTTAAAATGCTTTTATTCATAATCAAACGTGTTTAGATGATTTCTGTTTATACACAGACTTATTTAAAAGCTTTATTTTATACTCACACGTATGTAGGCGTACTTAAGCGATTCTCTTTATAATCACATGTCTTAAAGGGACTTCTCTTCATACATACATATATTTAAAATTTCTAGCTTCATACGTATTCAGATTATTTCTCCTCACACATAGTCGTATTTAAAATACTTTATTTCTTACTCAGTCTTAAGAGGATTTTTCTTCATACATATAAGTATTTGAAATGCAGCTGTCTTTAGAGGATCTAAAAATAATTAAAATACAACATTTGATATTTACATAATTTAAAAGATGTTTATTTAAACCGTCAAAGGCGTATAAACACTTTACATGTTTCGACCACTTGTACATCGTCTTTAGGAGTTATTAACAAGACTTTTGTTTTTGGTATTTATACTTTTTACAAGTCATGCGGTATTAAGTTTTGTGTTATTTACATAAATCACTGATCTACTTTTACATTATATCTTTCCAAAGTAACCACTTGGCTGCTTTTCATCTCGATTTAATTCTTCAGTTTCTTTTTTAATTTATCATTTCCAACGAAACTTTCCCTGAAACTTATAGCTATTCGAAGGCTATCTGTGCTAGCTGCATCTAATTTAGTGGTGATAGACTTGAGAGAAGGCAACTATTCAACACTGTATAGCATTATGTGACAGATATAGAAGTGTGTATGGTTGATGATTTTACGTGGTACATGTGGGTATTAGACGATAATGTGAACCAAGCTGTTAATTTAAATCTATAGGATACTCTCAACATCATACTTAGTTTGTCCATGATGAAAAAAGGACCACCTTTCGAAAGCGCTCGGGTTTAGGGTTTCGTATTTTTTAAATCTACGTGTTTTCCAAACATCATATATATGTGTCTAAAATATATCCTCGAAACACTGTTTTACTATGTATCCAAAAGCTTGTATTAATATCCCACATTATTTAGCTCTAGTATTATCCATTATTTTTTTTCTAATGTAGTTCTGTGTGAACACGAAACTGCTCTCTTCTTTAAAGTACTACCATAAGAAATCAAACTCATTACGTAAGCTGATAACTGATAATATACTTCTGCAACTAAAACTTACAAATGTGCCTTTGTATTTAAAAGAAATCTTTTATTACTGAAGTTTGTTAGTGTTTTTTTTTCCATTTTACCCTACAGCCACCATTTTCTTTTTGATATTCTAAGCGTTTAACAACGCATATAATCTGAAGAACACGCCCTCAGTATATGGTTTTCTAATCACATTACTTGCTTCTGAAATCTAAGAACTTTCTGAACAATTATCAAGTTGATAATTATCACATCTATATATGAAATCAAGCAAGCTGTAATTAGTTTCTCCTGGTATTGTATGGCATGGTTGAAGAGTTCAGCTCGGAAGGCTGCTCATTTCTCTGACACTTCGTAGATTATCATACACTGAGCATCCAGGTTTTATATAATTATTTATTCACAATAATCCTTTCTCCAATTTAATGACAAAATAATTGCTGGTTCTTTACAAATGAGTTATTAATGAACATCTACAAACTATTCAATTTTTTAAATTCAAATCGATAATTTACACTTTAAAATAATTAATTCTATATGGAGAGTCATTAGATATTTTTGTATTTAACATTCTATTTTGAGATACAAATATGCTTGCATGGCCTGGTGGTGTTAGGACGCTCGACTCGCAATGTGAGGATCGCGAGTTCGAATCTCCGTTAACGAACATGCTCACACTTTAGGATTGTTGCCAGGGTCAGCCACCCAAGTGTAGAAATTCTTGTCTAATACAAAATACCCAAGCGGCCGACCCTAGAACAAATTGGAATTGATGTCGAATGAAGATATTCAGACAAAAACAACCATATCTTTTTAGATTAAAAGATAAAACAAATATTATTAATTTGGCTAAATAAAACAAACTTCATGTCCTGTAATAAATAAAATTAACTTTTTTATTTAGGAAAAAAAGAACATTATTGTTTGAAAGGTTTTCAAACGTTACTGTTTAGGAAATTTAAAAATGTCATTGTTATTGTTTGGGAAATATAACAAAGCTATTGTGTTAGAAAAATAAAAAGCATAAACATTTTGAAGATATGAAAAATTATTTTTAGGAAAGATACATTGGAGTATCTGCTATATCCATCGCGCGGAGTCGCACCCGTATTTAGTTTATCGCTGTCCCACCGGGGGATGAGAAAGATAAAGATAAGTTATTGTTTGGAAGAGAATAGCAAATTGTCTTTTTTAGGAGATAAAAAATGCCACCTGGCCTTATATTATCTTGCAAGAAAAATTGATAATTTTTCTTATAATTATACCCGATGATGATAAAATACATGCAATGGTAGTAAACGGATTTCTAGGTTTATAATTCGACTGATGCAACAAAACGAACAAAAGTCCTGTACATTTTCGTCCTCAATATATGTATAGTCGAGATACGATTGTTAAATTAATTGACTAAATCTTCTTTCTGCTAAGTAGAATTAAAGGTTTAATCTCACCCGGTCTGATCTTCTACTTTTCAGAAACATTCTGCGTGATGCACTGAACGATCAAGTTTCTCTTTTTTTCCACAAAACTTTAGAAGTCGTTATTGGTGAATGTGAAGGAAATACGAAACACATTTAGCTTGTAGAGAATTACGATATAAGAATGTACTCTTAATGTGTTGTATAAAAATAATGTTGCCTCTCTATGTTTTAGTTGAATTAAGAATATTTCTGTGTACAGAGTTATAGCAGTCTTTTATGCTTTCATAATATATCTTTATGGAAATCAGAATTACAATCTTAAGAAGTTCCATCAACTATACGGCATTACTATACGGTTGTTCACAATATGTCTTTATGAAGAAAAATCAAGATCCCCATATTAGGATGCTCCATCAGCACAATACTGTATACTTGTTCAAATTACATTTAATGGAAACTAAAATTCCAATTTTAACACGTTTAATCAACACATTATTGTACGGCTGTTGAAAATACATCCTATTGAAAATCAGGATTCCCAATTATGAACACAAGACTGTGCAGTTAACTGCTCAAAAATACATCTTTTTTGGAAATCAGGATAGACACGTTTGAGAGAGATAACACATTATATATATGGGGTATATGATAGGTTATAACGAAACGTTTGGGAAATAATGAAAAGTATAATATAAAGCTTTTGGGATAGGTGATATATTATATTGTTTTAGATAGAGAAATTATATAATGGAACTATTTTCGGATATGTTACATGTTATAAAGTGTTTGAGATAGATGATATAATACCGAAACGCTTTTGGGATATGTTAAATATTATACAGTGTTTGGGATAGATGATATAGAATAACGAAACGCTGTTGGGATAGGTGATATATTATAAGTTTTTGGGATAGTATAATGACGTTTTGGACAGATCAGAGGTAATAACGTAAAAAGTCTTGAAAACCTACCTTGGAGAAGAAAACACCGTTGAAACCACATTGAGCCTTCATCAAACTTGAACACCTAGATAGCACAAGCAGAATTTCTCACAAATGTTTAGGGATGACGTCATAATCGTATTCACCTTATCACAGGAACCAAACTGTTAGAATATTGGCCACTACGTTGTCGATGACACCAAAGGGTTTAGAGAACGATTATTTGTATTACATCACCTCTTCGTACACAACCATGTAGCATGGACCAGTAGCACGTCCTAGTGTTAGCTCACGTGGTACGAGAACGGTGCGTGGCTTGGTTGGGGAAAGAATGATTAAATTTCCCAAGTTCAGTAAAAGGCTCTTTTACAACGATGTAAAACTTCATGATGTGACTACTAGTATAAGTCTTCTCCACGACGGTTCTCTGCCAAGAAACAGAAATCACGTCAACTGATTATCCCAAAACACACTAATAGCTAAATGAATTGCACGAGTAGTTCTGTCTTCCTTGAATAAAAACTTCAAAAACAGTATTCGTAAGAGTTACTAAACTATATGGAACTTCATTATTTTCTAGAGTTGTTCTATCTTTATGTGATGCTTGGTTTACAAATAGATATAACACTAAACTAGAAACACAAGCAAGTCTGAAAAGAACATGTGGCGGAGAAGAGCTGGGAAAACTGGTTCATGCGACAAAAAAGAGGTGGAAAAATGGTACGTATAGCACTGTTAAACTGCTTAACCTCGAGAGACGATGTGGCAGAGGAGAGGTGGAAACCTGGCTCACGTGATTGTTAAACAGCTTGATAATACATAGGTATTTTGAATTTTTCAAATTATATTTCCTTTTTGTGAAACGTTATTCTTATCGTTTCAGAGACATGCTATTCATTACTAAGTATCAAAGCCAGCAAGAGTTAGTTTGGCGGTAGTGGCTAGATTCTTGACCAATATACAGGTATAAATATTGGCCGAAATTGGCTTAGTAGTTAACGGGAAACCAAGGATTCAAGGCTCGATTCTCAACGCTTCAAAACACGCATTCTAGACTTTGAGATTGTAGGTGTGCTATAATAGTGTTAGTCAAATCCCACTATTCGGTTAGATAGGAGTATTCCAAGAATTGGTGGTGGGTGCTGTTGAGTAGTTGTAATTCCTTTAGTCTATTAGTTAAAAATTAAGGACAGCTATGCTCAGATAACCCTTGTGTAGCTTTTCGTGAAAATTCTAAACAACAAGCTACTAACACTTTTTGGAAACTTCCTAGAAGCAGTGGTTGAGGTGTGAAACGTATTCTGTGTACATAGTTTACCCGCAATCTCATACCTCGGTTATTTGGTCATGTTTTTTAGATCAATAAACTAAGTGTTGTCTCCGTGATATACATATCTATATTACAGGGTATTTTATGCCTAATGAATCTCTCCCTACTGCTAATCCATTGTGTAATACTAGCGTGTATTTTAGCAAAATACATTTCAAAACTTTTATTGTTGATGGAAACTAATAGGCACTGAACCATTTTGAACGCATATTACTGATATTTTAGTCATTCTTCAGCAGAACGTATCTAAGGTACTAGTAGGATGCCGCTAGGTGGCAGAATAGTTGTATTCTATTTTTGTACGAGATGCTCGTTGTTCCCACATTTATTTTAACCCTGAAATTACCGACTTGTTTGGATATAGTTCACCATCGGGTGGTGTCCACACATTGCATCATACTGAGTAACTGGTGTCCAGACTTAATGTAAAGAAGTTCGAAAAAAAACAGTAGTGAATTCATTCAATTTCTATGTAAAAATGCATACGATCCATTGCAGTAACTAGTAAGTCAAAGTATATAGGAGAGTAAAACGCTTGGGTTAAACTACATGCGACATTCCTTATATACATATATTACTAATGAGTTAATAATACAACCTTAAAACTTTAGAAATATAATACTAAAGTGTAGGTAAAGTAGATTTTACACTTATATATTCATCAGTAAACAGTAGGTAACGTGTCTTTAACACTTTAATCGAATAAATCCGTTGCAAAAGTGTAGATAATGAAGTTTTAACACCAATAAAGATATTTTACTAGTGAAAGGGTAAAGCAGTTTAACTTATATATATTTATACATCCATGACTAATGGTGGGTACTGCACAATTAGAACTTGCTAATGAGTCTCTACTGCAGGTTTACTCCTTTACACTGTACATCCATTATTAATGAGTGGATACTACAAATTTAACACATTACATTATACGACCTTTCGAAGTGAATTTGTCTTAAATATTCCACAATTTAGTATACATCCCTTATTAAATAGTTTGTGCTCCAGGTTTAACATTTTACACTATATATATATATATCTTGCTAATGAGTTTGTACTGCAGCTTTAACACTAACATTATGCATCTTTTACTAATGAGTCTGTACTGTAGGTTTAACATTATTATACATCTCTTACTAACGAGTCTCTTCTGCAGATTTAACATTTTACACTATACATATCTTGCTAATGAGTCTGTAATGCAGGTTTAACACTAACATTTTACATCTCTTACTAACGAGTCTGTACTGTAGGTTTAACACTTCATTATACATCCCTTGTTAAATAGTCTGTTTTACAGGTTTATCATTTTACACTCTACATTTCTTGCTAATGAGTCTGTAATGCAGGTTTAACACTTTATTATACATCGATTATCAAATACTTTGTGTTGCAGGTTTAACATTTTACACTATACATATCTTTCTAATGAGTCTGTAATGCAGGTTTAACACTAACATTATACATCTCTTACTAACGAGTCTGTACTGTAGGTTTAACACTTTATTATACATCCCTTGTTAAATAGTCTGTTTTACAGGTTTAACATTTTACACTCTACATTTCTTGCTAATGAGCCTGTAATGCAGGTTTAACATTAACATTATAAATATTTTACTAATGAGTTTGTACTGTAGGTTTAACACTTTATCATACATATCTTACCAATGAGTCTGTACTGTAGGCTTAACACTTTACTATGCATTTCTTACTAACGAACTTGTTCTGTAGGTTTAACACTTTATTATACATTTCTTAATAATGCGTCTGTAATGCAGGTTTAACACTTTATTATACATCCCTTATTAACTAGTTTGGGTTGCAGGTTTAACACTTTATTATATATCCATTATTAGATTGTTTGTGTTGCAATTTTAACATTTTATACTATACATTTATTGCTAATGAGTCTGTAATGCAAGTTTAAAACTCAAATTATACATCTCTTACAAATGAGTCAGTAATGCAGGTTTAACACTAACATTTTACATCTCTTACTAACGAGCCTGTAATGCAGGTTTAACACTAACATTATAAATATTTTACTAATGAGTTTGTACTGTAGGTTTAACACTTTATCATACATATCTTACCAATGAGTCTGTACTGTAGGCTTAACACTTTACTATGCATTTCTTACTAACGAACCTGTTCTGTAGGTTTAACACTTTATTATACATTTCTTAATAATGCGTCTGTAATGCAGGTTTAACACTTTATTATACATCCCTTATTAACTAGTTTGGGTTGCAGGTTTAACACTTTATTATATATCCATTATTAGATAGTTTGTGTTGCAATTTTAACATTTTACACTCTACATTTATTGCTAATGAGTCTATAATGCAAGTTTAAAACTCAAATTATACATCTCTTACAAATGAGTCAGTAATGCAGGTTTAACACTAACATTTTACATCTCTTACTAACGAGTCTGTACTGCAGGTTTAACATTTTACACTATATATCTATCGCTAATGAGTTTGTACTGCAGGTTTAACATTTTACATTATATTACGTCGTCAACAAATTAATGTCGGTTTTGGAACACTTTCATTAACCACACCCCAAAAATCGTACATCACGTTAGTGTAGCCTATATAATGTGTAAAGTTTAGTACACTCTAATTCCTTATAGTGATGGCACACGACGAGACACACATTAGGCATGTAATGCTGTTTGAACACAAGAAGGGAAACAACATCTCTGTAGCCACAAAGAAGTTTATGAAATATTCTGAACATCCGTAAGTGTCAAGGATGGTTCAGCAAATTTCTTTCAGGTGACTTTAGCCTCAAAAACTGTGATGGCAGGGGCCGACAGGTTGAAATTGATATTGATGCTCTGAAGACGCTTGTCGAGTCTAACTCAAGGCAACACACTCGTGAAATGGCCCTGAAATTGCATGTCTCTCATGAAACAATACGTAAACATGTAAGGAATATGGAAAACTCCATAAAGAAGGTGTTTGGGTGCTTCACGAACTCTCTGATGATCATCGTTTTCAACGTGTGAACGTTGCTTTGTCTCTTCTGGTGCGTAATGCGCGTGAACCATTTTTGGACGGAATTTGCATCGGTGATGAAAAATGGATTCTCTATGCGAATATCAAACGCCAAAAATAATGGCTCAGTCCTAGACAAAACTACTTTCGACCCCAAAACCTTGACTCCATCCACAGAAACTGATGCTTTGCATTTGGTGGAACATTAAAGGAGTAATTCATTTCGAACTCCAATTCACAAGGAACTGTGAAGGCAGAGATCTATAGTCAGCAACTGGAACGTTTAAATCTAGCCTTCATCAGAAACGCCCTTCAATTGTCAATCGGAAAGGTGTTCTTCTTCTTCACGACAATGCATGCCCACATGTGGTACGTTTGACACAACTCAAGATTATAGAGTTGGGTTGGGGAGTTCTACCCCACCCATCATATTCTCCAGATATGGCACCATCGGGTTACTATCTTTTTCGTTCGCTGCAACACCATTTTAATGGAAAAACGTATGCAAATGTGGAAGTTGTTAAAGAGGATATCGACATGATTTTTGCTTCAAAGCCAAGTGATTTCTTTAATCAGAACATTAACAGTCTGACTGTAAGATGGAAAAGCATCATCGGTAAGAATGGAGACTATTTTATTTACTAAATATTTTGTTTTGATATATAAGGTTTTCGGATTTTTTCATCTAAAAAAATAGCGACATTAATTTCTTAACGACCTAATAGATCCCGTACTAATAGGCCTGTACTACAGGTTTAAGACTTTACACTATATATCTTTTGCCAATGAGTCTGTACTGCAAGTTTAACACTTTACATTATACATCTCTTATTAATAGGCCTGTACTGCAGATTTAACATTTTACACTATACATTTCTTGCTAATGAGTCTGTAATGCAGGTTTAACACTTTACATTAAACATCCCTTACTAATAGGCCTGTACTGCAGGTTTACATTATAATTCCTTTGTTAATGAGTCGGAATTACAGGTTTAACACTTTATTACATATATCCCTTATTGAATGGTCTGTGCTGCAATGTAACACTTTACATTACATATCACTTACTAATGAGTCTTTGCTGCAGGTGTAACA